CACACACACACACACACACACACACACACACACACACACACACACACCCTATGCACTCTAGAGAATGAGTCTGGGAATTAATAGTGGAAAATTAGGAAATGATATGTGAATTGAGCAGATATTTTGCATCTGTCTTCACTGTACAGGATACAACTAACATGCCAGTAATACAATTATGAATCAAGATGTGAAAGGGAGTGAAGAACTTAAAACAATTACAATCATCAATATTAAAATAAAGGAATACCATGTCAAGTGAAACCAGCTTCTCTCCCACTGGATTCACAACACAGTGAAAGTAAAACAGTCAATCACCCTCTAATTTGCCCAATTGTTCTAACCAGATTTAAGAATAACGGATCTTGGGCACCTAGTTTATAACTTAAACAAAAATTAACAATTTATTATTAATAATATAACTGTAGCAGACAAAAGATAAATAAGATAATTTAGTTAATATCTATGAGTTAAAGCCCAATCTTCTTTGATCATAGTCCCCATTCACACACAGACAGACAGACAAACACAGTTAAGGGATGAATTAAAAAGAAAATAAAAGAATTATAATTTGCCAGTTCAAGAAGCAGATTCAAATGATGGATACCAAGCCTTTACGAAATCCTTGGGCAATGGGTTGTTCACAGGCATTGAGACCAGTACATCTTGCTCAAATTCCATATTCACTGGTTAAAGCCAACAGTTTCATCAGACTCTTAGAAATATTTACTGGATAAACAGGAATCCTTATTTAATTATCCAGCTTCCCCTTAAATGTATCCATACTATTCCCTTTAGCCAGTCCCTGTGGTAGAGAGTTCTGGATTCTCACCATTTTCTGGATAAAGAGATTCCTTCTTACGGAATGACCTCAAGAGGAAACTTTCACCGTGCCTTCACTTTATTAAAACCTTGCATACGTTGAAGACCTTTATCAAGTCATCCTTCTTTATTTAAGGGAAAAGGGGCCAAGCCTGTTCATCCTTTCCTGATATGTTTACCAATGCATTTCTGTTATTATCCTTGTAAACCTTCTCTGTACCCTCTCCAGTGACTCCACATCCTTTGCTTAATAAAATAGGAACAAGAGATTGTGTCTAATTATCAACACTATAGGAGATTTTACTGCACTCCAGGTGCAACATAAATGAAAGTTGTTGTGGAAAGAAGAATCTATTAGTGTACCATAACAGGCACCATGGAGTGCATCCTCTGCATTGCCATGTCCCTTTTCCTGGCTGTCAGTATAAAATTGATCTTGGAGAAAAGAGTTTAATGTGGCTAATACAGCAAACGTTGTTTTAACCAGCACTTATGAACGGACACCCTCGATATTTCAGCATAAATTATAAACCTGAAATATCACAAACTTTACTGCATTATTCTGTTCAGTTATTATAGTTTTTAAAATTTATTTACCTCAGTGTAAATATACTTGTTGTTCAATTCAATGACCACACAAAATATCAACAGTTGATTCAATTTTGAGTCAATTTCTCCTCAAATACCTTAATGTCTGAGTAGTCAGTTGAAGGTATGAGTGAGAAGGCTCTCTGCCAATAAGTTTTTATTTAAGGCAGAGTCCCATTATTATTTAAGTTGGTTTATGCTGCAAATAAAGTATAGCAGTGATGTGTATTTATGTTTCTCTTGCTCAGTGTGTGTTTTTACAATGATTGTGTGGACCTCTAGAATATTTGATCAACTCCTGGTTCCATAGGTGCTGGTTAATAAAAGGTTTGCTCTGTTATGCAATAACTGAGGACACGAACATAATTGATTACAAATGTCTTCTTTGTTTTGTAAAGGTTAAGGGACAGTCAACTGATGTACCAGCAGAAGTGTTCTCCATGCAAACCATATTTACCCACTCCTCGGACATCATGTGCTCCTTTGAACCAGTCTTCCTGTCCACGGGTACCAGCTGCATCCTCGTGCCCTCCCGTGAACCTGCGATCTTGCCCTCCACCTCCAATCTCAAACCCCTGCAAGCCATTGCATCAAAACTCTGGAGCTTCATCCTCTGCCCCCAGCTCCTCCCTGGCACCTGCCACCCCAATGTGTTGCTTGCCATCTTCAGCTCTGACCACACGCCTTCCTGTGCATCAGCCGAGCTGCCAGCTACCTTCCTCTTTGGCCTCATGCCTGTCCACTGTTCGGCCGAACTGTTTGTCATCTTCTTGTATCCCCCCCTGCCTTCCTGTGAGCCGGCTAAGCTGCCCACCACCTTCTGCCCTGGCCTTGTGCACTTCGATGAACCGGCCAAGGTGCCCGTCACCTCTTCCTATGAGCTCCTGCCCTCCTCCTGCAAACCCCTCAGCGAGTTGCAGATCTGCATCAAGTCGGCCATGCCCCATGACTCCAGTAACATACGCAAAACTTAATAACCCAACTGACGCAGCGAAATTTAGACTTGAACAATGTGTGGGTAAGACGATGAAGAATTAGTTCTATGTTACAGTGGTTGTGCAATTGACTAATGTCTGACAATTAAGAAGTCAAAGTTTGTTTCTCTCTTCAGCTGTCTATTCTCCTCACTTTGTCTATACAGCACGCACTTGATCTCTAACTGACCCTCGCTGGTTTACAAGATTCATCTCATTAATATCAACTTAGGTTTGACACCAAGGTACAATTGTCTGCACTGGCACTGGCTAGTGTTAGCTATGCCTGCTTGTCCTTTGACTATGAGTTAAGTTCCGAGTGTCGAGAAGGCAGCTGGTTGCAAGGCTTGTAGAGAAGCAAGTCATTCATTCTCAGACAGCTCCCTGATTAGTGTAAAATGGGTCGAATGCCACCAGACAAAACAACAATCTTCCTGTCCTGTGACAGAGCCATTTACACGCTTAATGTAAGCTGAGAAATAACAGTTACCCTCCTAGATACACTACACAGTTACACTATTCTTGATTGGCACCACATCCACAGGCATCCACTCCCCCCATCACCAACACTCAGTAGCAGCAGCGTGTACTGTCTACAAGATGAACTGCAGAAATTCACCAAGGCTCCTCAGGGAGCATCTTCCAAACCCGACCACTTCCATCTAGAAGGACAAGGGGCAGCAGATATGTGGGAATACCACCCCCTACAAGTTCCCCTCCAAGCCACTCACCATCCTGAGTTTGAAATATATCACTGTTCCTTCAGTGTCGCTGGGTCAAAATCCTGGAATTCCCTCCCTAATGGCATTGTGGGTCAACCCACAGCAAGTGGTCTGCAGTGGTTCAAAAGGCAACTCACTACCACCTTCTCAAGGGCAACTAGGGACGGACAATAAATGCAGACCCGGCCAGTTGTGTTCCACAAATCAAAAAAAAACCTAATTCTGTAGGACACCCCAGCACATTTTGCAATCTGACAAGCTTTATTGATGTTGTTGCATAGTTATGCTTTATAACTTTAATATGAAAACTCTGCAGACTGTAGGCTGACCTGTTTCCCTCTATTCACCCGGTATCCCCTATACACACTGTATAAGTCATTTCCGGATGCTTTGTTGGTGAAGGGTATCAAATGTTAGGGAACCAAGTCAGTGGAGTTAAGATCTGAAGGGCTGAATGGCCTCTACCTGCTCCTATGTTCCTCTTGTTGAATGATAATGTAAAGGGACTGGGGCAAAATGATAACAATCTACTGGGGCTAGCCAAAGCCCCCTGCTAAAAGGATGAGATATCTAATGGGCCTTAAACGGAGGAGATGGACAGTCAAAATGCAGAGAAAAAGGAGAAAAAAAATAGATGTTTGGAAGAGAGACAAACAGTTGTCACAGAATTTGTAACATGGATACAGGCCGTTTGGCCCAACCAGTGTGTGCCAGTCCATATGTGGCCTCTTTGCCACCCAGTCCCTGGTTAAAGTACAGCTGTTGATCTAATCTGCTCATGTTGCAAAGGGTGAAAGGCTTGTCACCTGCCCCCAAACTTCAATGCTGACACTGATCCCACCACCCTGAGGTTCATATCCCCCACCACGGCCAGTGCACTCTGGTCGTAATGCTCTAATACCCTCTTCCCCGCTGTCCATTGTTAAAGGTTAACAATCTCCTGCCTGCGTTACTGTTTTAGACTGAGCTGGTGGGTTAATAGCCTCTCATTTTGTACCAACAACAGCCCTTTCTCAGCCTCAGTGTCTGCATGCTTTGACTAAACTGACAACTTTCTACATGTGCTTGGAGAGAGAGGAGAAGCAGTCCCACAGAACAGGGGGAGCCATAATCCCCTCTACTTTCCGAAGGCCGGCTCTGCGTGGATATTTTGTTGAAGGTCTCCTCATCCCTTCCAGGCTCTAACCTCTTCAGCTGGTCAAATAGGCACTCCACCTCCAGAGTTTAGAACTAAGAAACAAGGCTGTTCAAACAAAAGGGAAGCATAACATATTCAGCCTGATTGGCTGTCCTCCCAGGTGTTACTCACAGCAAGGATTGCCTTTAACATCCCGAGACTGGTAGAACATTTACAATGAAATTAGTATTATTATGCAACAGAACATCTTCCAATCCCCAAAGCATTACACCATTCCTCTCATGCCATCCCCTTCTTTTCTTTCGTGTCAATGTTCAAATGCAACAAGATCTGGACAATATCCAGGCTTGGGTTGACAAGTGGCAAGTGACATTCGCGCCACACAAATGCCAGACTATGACCATCACCAATAAGAGACAATCTAACCACGACCCTTTGACATTCAATGGTGTTACCATCACTGAATCCCCCACTATCAACATCCTGGGAGTTACCATTGACCAGAAACTCAACTGCACTCGCCACATAAACACAGTGGCTACAAGAGCAGGCCAGAAGCTAGGAATACTGCAGTGAGTAAGTCATCCCCTGACTCCCCAAAGCCTGTCCACCATCTACAAGGCACGAGTCAGGAGTGTGATGGAATACTCCCCACTTGCCCTGGATGGGTGCAGCTCCAACAACACTCAAGAAGCTTGACATCATCCAGGAGAAAGCAGCCCGGTTGATTAGCACCACATCCACAAACATCCACTCCCTCCACCACCAACGCTCAATAGCAGCAGTGTGTACTATCTACTAGATGCACTGCAGAAATTCACCAAAGCTCCTCAGACAGCACCTTCCAAACCCACGACCACTTCCATCTAGAAGGACAAGGGCAGCAGATACATGGGAACACCACCACCTGCAAGTTCCCCTCCGAGCCACTCACCATCCTGACTTAGAAATATATCGCTGTTCCTTCACTATTGCTGAGTCAAAATCGTGGAATTCCATCCCTAAGGGCATTATGGGTCTAGCTACAGCATGTGGTCTACAGCAGTTTAAGAAGGCAGCTCACCACCACCTTCTCAAGGGGCAGTTAGGGACGGGCAATAAATGCAGCAATGCCCACGTTCTAAAAGTGAATAAAAAAAGGTCACCCCCATCCCAACCACTTCATTTTACACCATCTCTATCCCTCCCCTGTGGATTCCCCCCCCCCCCACCCCCCCCCCCCCCCCCCCCACCCCATACTAATCCTCCTTCCACCCACTGCCTTTCCCCTCCCTCTCTTCTGTTGCAGAGTTTTTAAAATTTGCTAAAATTTTTATAGAGTCATAGAGGCATGCAGCATAGAAACTGACCCTTTGGTCCAAGTTGTCCATGCTGACCAGACATTCCAATCTTCTGTAAAGTTCTGTTGGATCCCAGTTGGTTAATTAGATTATTTAAAGAAGGAAATCTGCCACCCTCACCCGGTGTGTAACTCCAGACCCACAGCAACGTCATTGACTTTTAACTGCCCTCTGAAATGGCTTGGCGAGACCTCTCAGTTCAAGGGCAAGGTGGGGATGGGCAACCAAAGCCCCTGCCAGGGTTGCCCACATCCTGTGAAAGAGTAAAGGGAAGAAATTAGATATTATAAACTGTTATTGTAACATTCTGGTGTACCCAGGCATTGCCCAACAGATAAACCCACCAACGGATACAGTTCAGGCAGACAGTAAATGTGTACAGATTCCTGGAGAATCCTAAACATTCCCAGAGATTTGGCAGCTTTAGATACCGATAATACATCACGTTAGTTGACTAGATGGAGCTGAGCTGCAGATGGATTGAAGGTTGTGACCTGATCTCACTGAAATGGGTAAGGGTCTGAGAGGGCTTGGGCAGGGTATTTAGAACATAGAACATTGAGCAATTGAGCACAGTACAGGCCCTTCGGCCCACAATGTTGTGCTGGCCTATTATCCTACTTTAAGATCAAACTAACCTGCATACCATACATTTTACTGTCATCCATGTGCCTATCCAAGAGTCGCTTAAAAGTCTCTAAAGTATCTGACTCCACTACCACTGCTGGCAGCACATTCCAAATGCTCACCACTCTCTGCGTAAAGAACCTACCTCTGACATCTCCCCTATATCTTCCTCCAATCACCTTAAAATTGTAATAGTCATTTCCACCCTGGGAAAAAGTCTCTGGCTATCCATTCCATCTGTGCCTCTCATCATCTTGTACACCTCTATCAAGTCACCCCTCATCCTTCTTCGTTCCAATGAAAAGAGCCCTAGCTCCCTCAACCTTTCCTCATAAGACCTGCCCTCCAGTCCAGGTAGCATCCTAGTAAATCTCCTCTGCACCCTCTCTAAAGCTTCCACATCCTTCCTATAATGAGGCGACGAGAACTGAACGCAATATTCCAAGTGTGGTCTAACCAGAGTTTTATAGAGCTGCAGCATAACCTCACGGCTCTTAAAGACAATTCCCCTGCCAATAAAAGCCAACACACCATACGCTTTCTTAATAATCCTATCAACTTGGGTAGCAACTTTGAGGGATCTATGGACGTGGACCCCAAGATCCCTCTGTTCCTCCACACTGCCAAGAATCCTGCCATTAACCCTGTATTCTGCATTCGAATTCGACCTTCCAAAATGAATCACTTCACACTTTTCTGGGTTGAATTCCATCTGCCACTTCTTTGCCTGGCTCTGCATCCTGTCAATGTCCCGTTGCAACTTACAACAGCCCTCCACACAACTCCACCAACCTTCGTGTCGTCGGCAAACTTACCAACCCACCCTTCCACTTCCTTATCCAAGTCATTTATAAAGATCACAAAGAGCAGGGGTCCCAGAACAGATCCCTGCGGAACACCACTGGTCACTGAGCTCCAGGCTGAATACTTTCCATCTGCTACCACCCTCTGTCTTCTATTGGACAGCCAATTCTGTATCCTGACAGCCAAGTTCCCCTGAATCCCATGCCTCCTTACTATCTGAATGAGCCTACCATAGGGAACCTTATCAAATACCTTGCTAAAATCCATATGCACCACATCCACTGCTCAACCTTCATCAATGTGTTTTGTCACAACCACAAAGAATTCAATAAGGCTTGTGAGGCATGACTTGCGCCTCGCAAAGCCATGCCGACTATTTCTAATCAAACTGTGCTTTTCCAAATAATCATAAATACTATCTCTCAGAATCCTCTCCAATAATTTGCCCACCACAGAAGTAAGACTGATTGGTCTGTAATTCCCAGGATTATTCCTATTCCCTTTCTTGAACAAGGAAATAACATTTGCCACCCTCCAATCATCTGGTACTACTCCAGTGGACAGTGAACTGAGAGGATATCTCCCCTCATTGTAGAATCTAGGACTAGGGAATACAGTTTCGACATAAGAAATCTCCCATTTAAAACAGACGCGAGGAGAAATTTCTTCTCTCGGAGGGACAGCGGTTCGGCTTTGAAATTCTGTACCCTACTCCTGCCCCTAATTCTTGTGTTTTATTGAAGTTATAAGCACCATTGCTAACATTTATTCCCTTGTGGGTGCAATTCAGGCTAACTTAAGGGTTTCCCAGCTCTTTCAAAGTAAGAATTGGTGATTCTTTAATTTTGAATACGGTGATGCATATGGCTACCCTCATTGAACACTAAAGGATAGGCCCCGATAGGAATGAACATACTGTAGCACTTACACTCATGTCTTCGCTTGTTATTGAATGTAAAATATTTGGTGTGAATGTTTCAGGGTCTATAATAAAAACAAGCTGTTTTATTGCTCGAGTGTTTATTAGGACAAAACAGAGTCAATTTTTTAATGCTGCATCTTGTTTCATCTCTTGCCCCTTTCCCATGATCTTCCTTGCTGCACCTCTCAATCCCACCGCCCCATCCAAAATTATGGCCCATCCATTGGGGTCAACCAATACCACGGTGAGTATGAGAATGGGGTGGGGAGCTCTTGGTCAGTTCTTTCCATCAGTCCCTCTCTACCCTGCTGACCTGGGCACTTTGCAGGTACGTTGAGGGTAGGTGGGACTTGAACCCAGACTTCCTGGCCTTCGAGGTGGAGACATTTCTTTTAGTGCGCCTCCTCTTGGTTTAGCTCAATACCGCTCCTTAATGTTAAGGCAAATAGCAGAGAGTGTGACCATGCAACCATGATTTCCATCTGGTTGCAGGGTATGGGCTGTGAAACCAGGCAATGGCGGAGGGAAAGGTTGCATCAGGGTTTCATGACTGACGGACACCCAACATCTCCACCTCACACATGCACATAGCACTGCACGCCCAAGGTCAGGGAAGCAACAGGAATAAAGACTGCAGGTCTGAACCCTACAAACAACCACCCTGAGATGTAAGGTCACACCTATCTACACATTAGGAGAGGCTGTTTGAGCAGGACAGCAAAGTTTTTTGCTTTAACCTCTCCCTTATTCATTTGTCTGAACCGTCTTTGTTCACTAACTGCTTGTAAGGTTGGTACTGCTCTGGAGGGGTGGAGAGGAGGTCGATTGGTGGTGGGGGAGTGTGTTTACTTATAATCTTATGTTCACCTGTGACTGCAGCCATGTGCAAAAGGCCACGAGGCTGTCGGGAGCACCTACAATGACATCTCTTCTTCTGCAGCGTCGGAAAGTAATAATACTGAGCCAAAGTGGTTCTTCCCAAAGCCTTCGACCCATTCTCCCAACAGTTGCAAATCTGGTCAAGGCCGAGATTTTTACAACACTCTGATTAAGGACCTGAAGAGCAACAACTCGACCAACGCATCCCTTGTTTGTAAGCCGCTCATGAACACATGCGACCTCAACACGCCGATCGCCAGGTAACCAAGACAAATTCCGTCATCAGATGTTGACTCACTGCTTTGTATGTCGAACCTTCTATTCACATTGTTAAGAAAGTTGGGAAGATTATTCAATTATCTGCCTGAACGTAGAATTCACCAGTTTTAAAATCTCCCCATCCCATGTCCAACCCTCCCTCTCATCCCCGCCTCCTTGACCTGACACAAACTGTCCATCTTCTCTCCCACCTATCCGTCCTACCCATCCCACCAATCAATCCTCACCACCCCTTACCCCTATCACCATCCCACCTACCTTCCCCAGCTCCACCCCTTCTCTCTTTATTCATTTCTGAGCTCCCTTCCCCCTCCCCATTTCTGAAGAAGGATCCCGACCCAAAGCGTCAGCTTCCCTGCTCCTCTGATGCTGCTTGGCCTGCTGTGCTCATCCAGCTCTACACCTTGTTGTCTCAGATTCTCCAGCATCGGCAGTTCTTACTATCTCCTAATTATTCAATTGTGCCCTCCCATGGTAAAGTTTGCTACTGTATTTTATTATTATGGGACATTGTCATTTAATAGAATAATTCTTGACAAGAAAGAATGTCCAGCAATGCTGTCCGCAGTTAACTACAGTGTTTTAAAATGACAATCTCTTAGCGCGTTGTATTCATATAATTAACAGTATGAATTATAGAAATCATTCTTATTAGAAGCACTGCTGTTTACCATGTAAGTATTTATTCTGGGGACGGGGTCTTTGAGGACATTTTTTTTTAATTATAAGATATTTTTAAGGTGAGAGGAGAAGGAGGCAATTTTTTATACAGACAGTGATTTGTATGTGGAATGAACTTCCAGAGGAAGTGGTGGATTCTGGTACAGTTATAACGTTTAAAAGACATTTGATCAGTACGCAACTAAGAAAAGTTTTTGAGGGATATGGGCCAGGAGCGGGCAGGTGGGACTAGTTTTGTTTGGGGTTATAGTCGGCCTGAACTGGTTGAATTGAGTGTTCTGTCTCTGTGCTGTATGACTCTATAACCCTATAACAAGAGTCTCTCGAGAGATGGTGTAGTTGAAATCAACTGGGCTATGTCAGAAGGTAGTTGAGAAACAGCCATGTTGGTCCTGGGCTGGAGTCACGTGTAGGCCAGACGGAGTAATGCCGGCTGGTTTCTTCCCCAAATGGACATTCCCAAATTGGTTACTCGTTGACTAGAAAGTGTTGAGAAACTGGGATTGTTCTCCTAGGTGCAAGAAGGTTACAAGGAAATTTAATAAACTTGTTGAAAATGATGAATGGCTTGGATAGTGTAGACAGGGAGATATGGACAGGAAGGTTGAGTATGAAACAACACTGATTTATAATAACGTGCACTATAGCTAGGGTGTGGAGTGTGGAGGGGAGCTGTATTGATGGTCTTGGTGAACTAAGGGGAATTTCTTTCAGGCCATGCATTTGAATTTTGAAACTGCTTGAGGGGAGTGGAAGAATTGAGAAATAGGGGATATCGGCAGGGATACAGGTGAATGGGACCAGAGGGAATTTGTATCAGCCTTTCAAGGAGCCAGAAGAGGTGCGATGGACCGAACAATCTCCTTCAGTGGCATTAGATTCTATTGACTAATATGGTAGAGTATGAATGGATTCCTCTATCAGAAGGGAACTGACACCATTATAAAACGTCAATGAACCTAGAATATTCTTGTAAAGAGTTGAATCAGTGAGAAGATACAGTTTGCATTCATCACTGTGGACGTGATCAATCTGTGGCAGTACTGGATTTGACTTGTGTTGCTTGTGGAATATGAATGCCTTTTCAACATTTGAGTATAGCCTCCCCTTCTGGTCACCATGGTGACTGGAGTCCATTTTGTTACTGCAGTCTCTAGCAATTGGGTTACCAACCCCATGCAGGACTTCCCCTGGAGGCTTGAGGGGTTATTGATTAATCTCATTAGAGGCAAGTGACCTGAGGGAAGGGTTATAGGGATATTAAAGTAGTGGGGTATGATTTTGTATTTGTCTTTCTTTGTTTTATGTTGGAGAAGGATATATACAAGTGGTTACTGGGTGGGGAAGTTGGATTAGGGTGGTCATGTGATAAATTAAGCCATTTTCTTAGACCCATGTGCTTAATACCTGTCTGCTCCAACATTCACCAGTCACAACAGAGTTTGAGACCATGGTCAGAGTGACTTCCTCACAAGATTTAAATTTTTTTTAAATTCTTTCTTTGCCATGTGGCATTGCTGGCAAAACCATTTGTTACCCAACTCCAACTGTCTTTGAGAAAGTAGTGTAGAGTTACAGTCCATCTGGTATCTGGTAGCAGTTTGGTACAACTGAGTGGTTCACCCAATTGTTTCAGAGAGTGATAAAGACTCAGCCACATTAGATATAACCAGCCATCTCGCTTTCTCGCTCTCTCTCTTTCTCTCTCTCTCTCTAGCTCTCTCACTTTCTCTCTTTCTAGCTCTCTCGCTTTCTCTCTCTCTCTCTAGCTCTCTCGCTTTCTCTCCCTCTTTAGCTCTCTAGCTCTCTCTCTCTCTCTAGCTCTCTCGCTTTCTCTCCCTCTTTAGCTCTCTCGCTTTCTCTCTCTCTCTCTCTCTCTCTCTCTCTAGCTCTCTCTCTTTCTTGCTGTCTCGCTCTCTAATAAGAGAGCAGTACATGGTCCTCTAGGATTATGGAAACGTTACCTTGACTGTTATAGTTGACACAACGTCGTCTAAATACAGAGCATTTGTGATTAAAATTTAGAACATCAAAAATACTTCCTTTGGAACAGAGCAGGGGTAGATGCAGGTAAAATGCTTACCCCGGTAGGGGAGTCTGGAATCAGAGGTCACAATTTAAAAATAAGCAGAGTGTCATTTAGGAATCAGATGAGGAGGAATTGGTTTTACTCAGAGGGTGATGAACCTTTGGAATTCTCCACCCCAGAGGCCCGGGGAAGCTCAGTCTCTGAGTATAATTAGACGCCAATCAAGTGTTGATTATCAATGATGTGAAGGGTTATGGGGATAGTTTGGGCAAAACGAAGTTTGATTATTGTATTAAACGGCAGAGCAGACTCAATGGGATGAATGGCCTGCTCCTATTCCGATGATCCTATAGCCATGTTGCTGTAGGTCTGGAGTCACATGTAGGCCAAACCAGGTAAGGATGGCAGATTTCCTTCCATTAGTGAACCAGTTGCATTCCTACAACAACGAGATTAATTTCTAATCCTATAGTTATTTGTTAGCGGCTCCAGCAGACATGGTGGGATATGAATTCATGTCACCACAGCAATAGACGGCCCCATGCATTAATAGCCCAGTGACAGCATTCCCATCAAGGCACTAGATATCGTGAGGTTAAAAAAGAACATGGTTTTCCAGGCTCCATTTCCCGTGTGCTGGTGCCATTTTCACAGGGGAGAGGGGAGGGTGTTCGGGAGAGTGGGAGTGTTGGAGGTGGCTGGTGAAGTTTGCGATTGATCCAATGAGGCTAACTAAAGAAGGCCAGTGACACTCGAGCTGGCATGCCCTCCCGGGGCCAGACTGGAAGTGGTAGGGGAAGTGGGTGTTGGCTTAGTCAGTGGCAGGATTGGGGTGGGAGTCAGAGGTAGTTGGGTGGTCCAGCAGCCCCCGTTAGGCCTTCCCTGAGTGTAGCAGCCACCATGGGCTGCCCAGTCAAGGGGGCTCCCCCTGCCCCACACCACTCTTCCCCCACCCTGTCACCCCACACCACTCTCCCCCCACTCCCCGCATCCACAGTGGTCATGTCCTGGAGGCAAAAGCCACTTTAAGTATAAACTTTACAGACATGTTGGATGAAGGGAGCCGCCATTTTGGAGCAGCCCCTCTCTCTTTCTCTCGCGCAGTTGCCATGGCAACCTGCTGCTCCTTTCAGGCACGGAAGGCCTCTGATTGGTCCTCCAGCTTTGAGAGTCATTGGCCAGGGACCACACAGCGGCTTCTCTGGAAAATGGCTCCCCACAGGCTTCAGCGCACCCCCCCCACCCACCCCATTTCTGAGCGCCTGGTTTTCAACTCACAGAGAACAAAGTCTTTCTTTATTCCAGCACCATGGGCAACATGAAAATAATCGAAGTCGCTGCGAACGGCCACTTTGTGCGGCTCTTAAATATCTCGCTCAACATGGAGGAAGATATTGGGAACTACATCTTGCAGCAGAACATCGGTGGGCACCCAGTGACGGTGTACCGCTTCCCACCCAGGACCCGGGTGAACGCAGGCTCCACTATAACGGTAAACACAGGGCACCCATTGGCAGAATGCAAACCCCGCCCATCCAAATTCCCTGGAAGCTGGCTTGGACAGAGCTCCCACCATCGCCTGTTTTTGTTCGGATTCACTCTCCATCTGGCTCAGTCCATATCACCTTGCCATGTTTACCCGGGCTTGCTGGTGGGTCACCACCAATTGGACCCCATCAGACCTGCGCCAGGGTGTGGCACCAAGTCTGACTGAATGTGCTCACCTTCTCCACTGGGGTTCAATGAGATGGTGCCCAGCCCCACCCCACAGCAGCTAGAGATGGGTGAAGTGTGCCAGCCTTTGCTGTTGATGCCCACATCCTGAAACTATTTAATTTGAAGCCTCTGCCCTTCAGCTACTAACCCAGTTTCATTCATGGTCTTTTAGGTTTGGTCAGCTGGAGCAAGGGTCCCGCACAGTCCCCCGAACGACTTCTTGTTGAAGGACAGTAATAAATTTGGAACTGGTCCAGAGTGTACAACAATCTTGTGTAAGCCCAATGGACAGGTAAGTAGCTCTGGATTTTATGTTCAATAATCCAGCCCCATTACAGTAGTAGAGTCATCGAGTCATACAGCACTGAAACAGACCCTTCAATCCAACTCGACCATGATGACCATGTTTACCAAACTAAACTACTCCCATTTGCCAGCAATTGGCCCATATCCCTCTAAACCTTTCCTAGCCATGCACTTCTCTTTTAAATGCTGTAACTGCACCCACCTCTACCACTTCCTCTGGCGGCTCATTCCATACACGCACCACGTTCTGCATGAAAAAGTTGCCCCTCAGGTCCCTTTTAAATCTGTCCCCTCTCACCTTAAACCTATGCCCTCTGGTTTTGAACTTCCGAGGGAAAAGACCTTATCTATTCACCCTGTCCATGGCCCTCATGCTTTTATAAGCTGTAAGGTCACTCCTCAGCCTCCGACGCTCCAGGGAAAATAGCCCAGCCTATTCAGCCTCTCCCTATAGCTCAAACCCTCCAAACCCTGGCAACATCCATATAAATCTTTTCTGCACTCTGTCCAATTTAGTAATATCCTTCCCATAGCAGGGTGACCAGAACTGTACACAGTATTCTAAAAGTGGCCTCATCAATGTCCTGTACAGCCATAACATGACGTCCCAACTCCTATTCTCATTGTTCTGACTGATGAAGGTAAGTGTGCCAAATGTCTTCTTCACCACCCTGTCTATCTGTGATGTCACTTGCAATGAACTATGTACCCAAACCCTTAGGTCTCTCTGTTTGACCAGACTCCCCAGGGCCCTACCATTAACAGTGTAAGACCTTGCCCTGGTTTATCTTTCCAAAATGCAACACTCCACATATATCTAAACTGAAGTCTATCTGCTCCTCCTCGGTCCATTGTGATACCATTCAGCCCATCGCAGGTAGGATTTTACAAGGTATGGTATTCCCTGCCATCCTTGACTTGGTTGTTGACTGTCAGCCCTGCTGTCCCACAGTGTGGGGGGATGGGGGGAAGCTGTTTACAGTCTGACTCAGAGTGAGACTGCCGTCCCCACAGCTGAGAGAGCTGTGCCAGGTCCTAGGCTCAGCCTAACAGAGCCAAGATGGAGTGGTGCCCACAACTGGGACCGCATTCCGGCCCCGAGGAAGAGGATTTGCGATCTGGGATTTGGGACAGGTGTGGGCTAGGCCTACGTGCCGAGGGCACATTGAATGGAAGGAGTACCATTTTCATAAGCCGGGGGTGGGATGTTGAGGGGCGCAGGGTGTTGACTCCGATGGGCGCACAGAACCAATCCGACCGAGGTACGCTCCCAATTCCTGTCAGTCGGTAGGTGTCGCAGTGAAACCATGTATTGTAATGGCGGAGGGAGAGTGGGGCCTAAGTTTGTCATTAATGGGTTTGTACATGAGGGAAGGAGCTGTCTGACACCTTTCCTACCCAACATGAAATGGGAGAGATGTGGAGGGTGGGCAGGTTCACCCAACTTTGTTTCTCTCCCCCACCATCCCTGCAGCCCTCTCGAACCACCACCAGCCTCCCACAACTCTTTAGATGTGGACTGTAACATGGTAAAATTACGCCCGCACCTATATTGGCCAAAAACAGAGTGGCCTAGCCTCCATTCAAGGCACAAAACAAGCCTCCTACATCAGACAGAGGTTCACCTGCACATCCGTCAATGTGGTCTATTGCATCCGCTGCTCCCGATGTGGCCTCCTCTACGTCGGTGAGACCAAGCGGAGGCTTGGAGACCATTTTGCAGAGCACCTGCGCTCTGTGAGCGACAAATGACAACACCTTCCGGTCACGAACCATTTCAATTCCCCCTCCGACTCTGTGGGTGGCATGTCCATCCTGGGCCTCCTCCAGTGTCACAATGGTGCCACCCGCAAACTGGAGGAGCAGCACCTCATATTCCGCCTCGAGAGCCTACAGCCCAAAGGCCTAAACGTGGAATTCACTAGTTTTAAAATCTCCCCACCCCTGGCCTCAACCCATGTCCAACCCTCCTTCTCATCCCCGCCTCCTTGACCAGACATAACCTGTCCGTCTTCTATCCACCTATCCGCTCCTCCCACCCCACTGACCAATCCCCACCACTGCCTACCTGCACTCACCTATCACCATCCCACCTACCTTCCCCAGCCCCACCCCTCCTCTCTCTATTTATTTCCCAGTTCCCTTCCCCCTCCCCAATTCTGAAGAAAGGTCCCGACCTGAAACGTCAACTTTTCTGCTCCCCTGATGCTGCCTGACCTGCTGTGTTCCTCCAGCTCCTCACTGTGTTATCTCTGACTCCAGCATTGGTCGTTCTTGCTATCTCTGGCCTAGCCTAATCCTGCTTCAGAGAGCTCCAACCAACCTGATTGGTTGGCAGCTGTGTTGGCTCAGCAGTGCCAAACTGGAGCGGTGGCCATGGCTGGGACTGAAGGCGGTTCCCCCACCAATTGGGGAAGTCAGGGGGTCAGGGGTATCAGAGGCCAAGCAACAGAAGGCTTCCTTCTGTGTTAAATTGTGTGCGCTATGGAACTATATCCCCAGCGAAGAGAGGGTAGAGAGTTGCAAGAACAGTGTGTACCATCCATGCAATAAATAAGTGAAGAGAGTTTGCTTACTCTGTAATGCTTTGACAACAGTGGGTTCCATTTGTGCTTGATTGATACATTCTTGTGGAAAATGTCACAGGGTCAAGGTTATGTCACCCACTGATTTGGACGCTTGTCAGGCAAGGCTGTTCTGGATCATGTATTGAATGTTTTCTCAGTCCCCTTTAACTGAACTGTGATCTTCCCCTTAGGCCGTAGCATGGTTCACTCCAGCTCCCGGAAACTCAAAGCTAAAGGACCCATGTAAAGATGGAGAACAGTTCACAGACTATGAACATTCACTCCCGAACAATAACACTCAACTTAATTTTCAACCTGACAAGGGAAAGGAAGAGTCTTTTGCAAACATGTACCAATTCTCGCCTGTGGCCTTACCAGTGAAGTAGGTATATGGTGGTATAAAGGTATATAGGTGCCTTATTTACCTGGAGTATCACCACTCAAAGGGGTTTCTGAAATTAAGGAGCTCAAACTCACAAGACTGCAGTTTCTGCATGGTTACTAAGGTGAAACTCACGAAAACCTAAAGGGCAAGCGCACATCACAATCAAAGATGCAGATGGAATGAGAACCTTTAATGCGAAGGAACTGTACAAAGGGGAGATAGTCCTGTTCCCGTTGTACAGAAATCACAGGCATTGGTTTCCGCTCCTGGCCTGGACACTGCAGACCCCACAGAGCCCCGGGACCTGTTTATCATACCCCTTTTCCAGGGCTCTGATTTAGAGCCTCGGGTAGACAACATCTGGAGATCTGTCTATGGTGTTAGAGATGGCACCTTGATGAGAATGCTGCACCAGCACGGTAACAGGGTTTAAATCATCAGGACAACTGGTCAAGCAGAAACCAAGATCAAGAACTGTCTTTGTGCTTATAATGTTTATTTTACATTAATACTAACTATTGCTGTACATGTAGATCATAGATACACCGGGCTCTGATCGAGTTACATTCGGACCAATCAGTCTTCTTCATACAGTCATGCCCATGTGCTCACTGTGTTCCTTCCACATTGTTCCTTCTAGTGTGTTCCAACTCCACCCTCACTGTGTCAGTTATACCCAGTGAGGTGCACCTCTGTGACATTATCAGAAGGAAGCCCTGACACAACAAAAATGAGGGGTCTTAGAGTTAGATCTTTCGAAAGCAACTCAGGATGCGCTTGTTCATGTAAAGAGTAGTGAACGTCTCAAACTTTCCCCTCCAAAGGAGCTGGATGCTAGCAAGTTGAATTTACACCACCATTGATTGCAAGGGCATTTCATAGACTTTACCAAAGTTAGCCCATACTAAAGGCAAACTGTATCAACACTGCCACCATAGCGGAGGTGACACCTTGATTCAGAGCTTACAAATTTTATGTACCCTACAGGGCTCAAGCCAGAATCAGCTTCTGGCACTGAAAAGAAGTCTCAGAAAAACGATCCCTGAGTGATTGTTATATTGAGAAGAAACAGGATGTTCAGGCGACATTATTCAGGAGTTGATGAGGAATGAGGCTGAGAGTTTTAATATGGAGTTTGTATTGTGGTGTTGACGTGTCAGTGATTCCAACCACCCCAAAATCATCACAGGCAAAGAATGGCTTCTTTTAAATATTCAATTCTTGCTTCTTTATAATCTCATCATTCAGTCAGCCAAATTTTGGTAGCTCTATGATACTTGCTAGTGACAAATGATCATGATAAGAACGACCTGGAAATTAGAAAATGCTTGGCCAGCTGTCTTGCTATTTGAAACAAAAACAGAAGTTGCTGGAAAAGCTCAGCAGGTCTGGCAGCATCGGTGAAGGAAAAAACAGAGTTAACGTTTCGGGTCCGGTGACCTTTCCTCAGAACCCAGACGAACCAGACCCGAAACGTTAACTCTGTTTTCTCCTTCACAGATGCTGCCAGACCTGCTGAGCTTTTCCAGCAACTTTGTTTTTGTTCCTGATTTACAGCATCCGCAGTTCTTTTGGTTTTTGTCTTGCTATTTGGATTGTCTGCTATTTCTGAAACATCTTTGTTTTCACAGTCAGAAACCCAGCTTCTACAATGTTCCAGCCCGGTGTCCCTGGGGTCAGAGTCCAGGTTCTCCAACCCACCCAGATTTCAACTTGCCAAGGACTCTGTCTGCTGGGAACGATGGGAGCAGTCAGTGCAGGGACTCCCGTTCACAGTTTTCTCGGCCTGACCCTATCCCAGGTGAGGCAAAAATCTGGCTCAGCTGCACAAGAGCCAACTTACCTGAAGGAAAATTGCCCGGAGATTTAGCGGAGGGATAATGAAAGGCCTGGATGGTGGCACTGGCTAGAGTTAGCATGGTAAACATTTCCGTTCCTACTTGTCCCTCACCCTCTGACATATTTCTTCTCCTATGAAGACTTTCGTCAAATGTGGGAAAACATTTGCAAGGCAGCTTTTAACACACTACCCTGTCAACGCAGCTCATCTGTATTTAAGTGCAGCCCTGCTTATGGAGTTGATACCTCCCCACCGTATCTGCTGGAAAGATACTGCTATAAGCGGGATCAGTTCCTGGATTTTTCCTTGATGTTCTGACGTAGAGACCAACCGGCAGTCACAATGACCCCCTCCTCACTTTCCCTCCAATTGAGAACCTTGGGTAGGCCCTCAATTATTTATTTAGTGAATACAAGCCCCTGAAGCCAAGTGATTACCAGCTCACTGGTTGAGTTTAAGGTGGTCTGTCCCCCATTTAGTCTGTGGAAGGGACACTCCTCAGTAATGTGCAACATTGCCTTTGCCTGTCCAGAAGTGCGTTCAGGGTTTGGTCTGTCAAAAATCTATTAGCCTGTCAGTGCAAAGAATTGACCCTGACTGAGTGTTGCAGACTGGCACATTCCAAGGTCCAGGACTATGTGCTGAGGGATGCACTAAAGCTTGGGATGGCTACCACCAAGACACAGCGGGGAAAGACCACCACCTAAGGCTTGTCACCCATTATATCCCAAGGGTGATGTTAACTTATAGAACCCCTTGTAGCCTGTATTGGAATGTAAATAGTTTCTGGGTGTATTTAGTAAATGTTCCAACATTGTATTTGAATGGAGGCACCTAATACCATAGAATCCCTACAGTGTGGACATAGGCCATTCAGTCCATTGAGTCCACACTGACCCTCTGAGAGCAGCCCATCCCAGCCCTGTAACCATGCAATTCCCATGGCTAATCCACCTAACCTGCACATCTTTGGACTGTGGGAGGAAACCCACACAGACATGGGAAGAATATGAAAATTCCACGCAGACAGTCGCCCGAGGGTGGAATCAAACCCAGGCCCCTAGAGCTGTCAGGCTGCAGTGCTAACCACTGAGCCAGCATGCTGCCCCAAGTATTGCAGAGTTCAAATGAGAAATATGACATTTTTACTGTATTTTCTATAACCTCTGACTTGAATTGTTTTGTAATGTACTTGTAAATAATTGAAGAGCCATCTAGACTTGAAAAATTAGCTTGCTTTCTCCCCATGGATGCTGCCCGACCTGCTGTGATTTCCAGCACTTTTAGTTTTCAGTACAGATTCCAGCATCTGCAGTAATTTGCTTCAACATTTAACCTTACTTGCTGTCTAAATGATCTGAATTAGTTAGCCCCTGCTCTGGCATTGCCAACAAATTCAGGTTCCCTGTCTACACCCTGGGAAACCTTTGGAGCTCCAGGATAAGTGGTGTAATCTTATTGTGCATCCACCAACCCCCTTACCCAATCCCATTTTCCCGATTCTCCTTCTGCCTCCAAGACTGTTCCCACTGGGCCCTGAAAATCCAGCCCCATGTACAGATGGCACAGCATGAAGTTAGTGTTAACCAATGTCACACAGAGGGGTGTAGAAAATGCTCCATTTAGGGGCAATTAGGGCTTTAGTGAAGGTAAAATACAGCATGATCTTTAGCCTGTAACTGGTTGTGGAGTACTTATGGAGAGACACATCATGTCTGATTTAAAGACAACAAGGTGCAGAGCTGG